GGGGGGGGGCACGACCGCGCGCTCATGGCCTGGGTCCGGGTGGGCACAGCTCGGCCCGGCGCCCAGGTGAAGCTTTGGAGCCTGCTCACCAAGAACGCGCGCTTCATGAGTGTACCGGGTGCATCAGAGCCGCTGTCGCACTGTTGCGGGTTTGCCTACTCCCTCCGCCCGTAAGGCGCGCTGACTCCTGCGGCCCGACAGGGCGTGCAATCCCCGCCGTGCGCCCTCAGCCCCGTGCTCAGCCATTGCTCGCGCTCCCACGACAGCTCATACCTGACTGTCGCCCCCACGGACCGGCCCTCCCCGCCGCCGTCATGCAGCCCGCCACCAAGCTCTGCTCGGCCTCCCACCCATCGCGCGCCGGGGAGGGGAGGTCCGCCGCGGCGGTTGGCGGGTGTGACTGGCGCTCGCAGGGCAACGGCCACCAACCGCCAAGAACGGACGCACCGGTCGCGAGCACCTGTACGACGGGGGTGATCCGCGGGGCTGAATCTCGAGATCGGCGGGCTAACCTGCGTCACGTAAGGGCACCCTGCGTGAACGATCCTTGTCGCGATGTGCGCAGCTGCTCCTCTTCAGGTGTAGCCCCCCCCCCCTTCCACACACACACACACACACGCGCGCGCGCGCGCGCGCTGTCGTAGCGCCCACGGCACCATGCACCAAGACCCCTGACCTCTCCGCGGCCGACTGCGTCGAGTAGTTGGGGGTGATTGGGAGGCGGACGCGAAGGAGACAAACACACATCCAAAAACAATTCCTTTTATTGAGATCTACATACTGCAATCTCCGCGACAACTTTGTGGTAGCTCATCCAGAGTTGACAACTTCTTCATAGTCGTTTGAATTTGCTCGGGTAGTAAACGCCTGAAAACAGCGAATACCAAGATTGTTAGGACTTCGCGCATTGCAAAGGATTTCAGAACAGTGCATCTCTAAGGCTAGACCGGGCCGCCAAGCATGGTTTCCGAATTGTAAGGAGGGTTTTCCCACCTTCCATGCACATGCACTGCATTGATCTGGACCTACCAGCAGTGCTAGCACCCCGCTGGCGCTGCTGGCCGGGGCGAGGGCCGAGGTGAGGGCTGGGGCGAGAGGGTGATGCGGCAGAGGCCGTGCCTAGGCGAGTGGCGGACATCTGCTCCTGGAGCAGGTCAACGCTGGGGGGCCGCAGCCTGACGGTAGGCACACCCGTCTGCCTCACTGCAAAACCATAGGCCCGGGTGAAAGCAATCGGTAGCGCACGGGACAGCGTTGACCCCCCCCCCCCCCCCC